GGCATTTGTTAGTCAACTGACGGAATCTCTGGCTTAGTAGACGTGATATTCGATTTTCAGCCGAAGGGCCTGTATACCGTTCAGCAGATCACTTCAACATTCTCCTTTATAGCTAGCTGTGAGACATGGCCATTGAAGTGGAAGGCATGAATAGGCTGGCTAACTAGCTGTCTTTGATCATAGGTGACTCCGTTCTGTCTACAGCCCATGTTAGGTGGTTGTACAATAAGGTGAGTAATATTGAAGTGATGCATTGGTTACGTACTTGGTAAGGAGGGAAAATTATTTGACGAGGTTGTAAAGCAGTCGCATCAATTGAGATGGTTACGACATGTGTCGGGTTCCGCGGGCCCCTCTAGCCATCGATAGCCTCCCTCGACAACAGGCGATGTTATTTGACACTGCTGAGGAATCAGGTTGGTAAAGAGCTAGCGATCAAACCAAAACATGACTTCAAAGGTCAGTTAAATCCATAAGAGTCAGTGTGATCCAACCACCACAAATGGAGGCGCACACTTCTTGACTGACTGGTTGGGGTCCTCGGGATGGTAAGAACCAATGGCAATGACTGGAGACAATTCGTAATGTGGTTGAAAATCCTCGATGTCAACGCCTGGTGCAGATGCATTCACTCAATCTTTGTGACTGACAATACCCAATAGAGCTCTACTGTTCTTCCATATTCCCACTACTATCTATCTTTACTCTCTTCTGTTGGTTTGTGTAGTATATGGTGGGAAAGTGTCAGCTGAAAGTGCTAGCCATCTGTGCAAAATCGATCTATGTTGAAACCAGTCAATCAGACAGTAGTCATTCATGAAGCAGTTGAAATAAAATTTAGTCATCAGAAAAAAGAGAAAATCTAAATTTACTGACTTATTGATTATTTGTGTATTGTGTTGGTTAGACACAAAACTTTTTTATTTATTCGATCGATATATATTATTCGTCGTGTAAAATCTGAACTTTTTACTTCACTAATTTATATATATATATATATATATATATATATATATATATAACATAGTAGTAACCTTGACCTATTGTACTCAAGCACGTAGTTGTGCACTCACGCCCTCTCTTGCACTCACAGACACACACACACACACCTACACACTCACAGCACACAATTACAAGGTGTCATAATACGAGATTTGATATTAGTACTACAAAACAGAATAATACAAGGAGTTCATGCTTGTCTACAAGCGAAGCAAAGTGAACCATAGTGTCATAGACAGCCAGACAGCTAGCGAGCAAGCCAGTGTGTGTGTGTGTGTGTGTGTGTGTGAGAGAGAGAGATAAGAAACACTCGATAAGTTGTGATGCTTGTTTGTTTTCGTCTCATTTATCATTTTTGAGTACATTCATCACTATTTTGTGTTTCACACTCAGGATGTACACGGTTATTAACCAATTATGTTGATTTTTGCACCTATTCGAATAGTAATAATAATAATAATAGTTATAACACGAACATTTATGTATGTATATACATCGACACGCACGCACGCGCTCACACACACACACACACAACAACCCGCATTAAATGAATATTACCTATATGAAATACAGTATGATAATTCACAAAGACCGGAAGATCGCTGTGATATGTTTCTTTGTAATTCGAATATATGTGAACTTATAGAATCGATGACGTTTCTAGTGTGACGTTGAAGAGTTTTTAAATTAGGATATATATATATATATATATGATGTCTCCACAGCACTTTCCAGAACCATTTTGGATATTTGCAATTAGTAATACAGCTCTCGAAAACTTCCAATTTTGCATTAACTTCGACAGGTTTGACAGAGTAACGCAGAAACCCCTTGAGTTCCTTCACTGTCGAAGGGTCCCTGCTCTTTTTCAGTTCGTGGAAAATACCCATTGGAACATTAGATTGAAAAGAACAAGAAGTTCAGAAAAGATATCTCATCTTTTCGGCGATTTCATTCTCAAAATCAGCTGTACAATCGCATTTATATAGATTATTTCACATGGATACAATTATTATTTGTTTAATTCCACATAGTAACAAAGGTGATAATAATTTTCAAATTGATATGAAAGTTTGAAGGTACGAATATAGATCACAACGGGGCTTAGAGATAAGATTTCATAGGATTAGAAAATAGTTACAACATATGCAAAAATTAATATTTGATAACTGGAGAAATAATAATTTTAAAGGCGAATAAAAGGTGATAATTATTTTCAACTTGATATGAATTACAAGAGGCTTAGAAACGCCAGGGATAGAACGAATTACAGGTGTGAACAAAATGAGCATGGAAACAAATTGAAATCAAACTCTTCAACGTAACACTAGAAACGTCATCGATTCTATAAGTTCACGGATATTCGAATTGCAGAGAAATACACTATGAGCACAGGCGCATACAGACACAGAGTTCAATTAATGATTGATAATATCTGTAAGAGATGTATGCGATAATATGCAATCACACAAGACTGTCTATTATCACCGACGATGATATTCTTAAATTGTGGTCGACTCGATAATACATCAGACTGTGTATGGAAGCGATAAGAATACTCTAGAATATCTGGATTTTGTAGATGATATGTGTCTAGTGTCACACTAAGTAGAAGATTTGCAGACAAAAGCCAACAGACTGGCTGAAGAGGCTGGCTGGCTGGCTGGCAGGCAGCGAAGACAGGACTGCAGATGAACATAGGGAAGACGGCGGTGAAGATAACCAACCAACCAACCAACCAACAGAAACAACAACAGCAGCCAGTACCAATCACCATCAGTGAGATAGATTTAACTGAGGTTGCCTCCTTCACTTATCTAGGAAGCATCATCTCAACTATAGGCCAGTAGAACAGACGAAGCCAGTCAGAACTGGAATGGCAAGATACGCTTTCATCAACCTGAAACGAGTTTGGAAATCTTCCACACTCAGCATAGGGCATAAGATTCGCATTTTCAACATCAATGTAAAGTTGGTCAGCCCTTCTATCACGGTCAGAAACTTACACTGAGTGTCAGTCACAAAAAGGATATCCAACAATTTGTTGCAGACTTTCATCAACAGCTACCCTCCTCTCTGACTCCATAGTGAAGATCAAATAGCCGGCTAGAGAGAATTAGTAACAAGGAACTCTAGCTGGGGAACAAACCAACAGGCAAGAGCCGAACGTTCAACAAATATATGCTAGAGAAAGTGGAGATGGATCAGGCATATATTGAGGAGGCCGTCGAGTGATATCGCGCGCAATGCAGGCCATTGCTTGAGTGGAATCCAAATAGGAAGCGAGAAGTGGTTAGTTAGTACGAAGGTGATATGGAGGAGAGCGTGTGGCGAAGAAGAGATGAGACAATTTGGTCAATCGTGGACCCAAATGAAGACGACAGCAGAAAACAGAACAAAGTAGAGAGTGGAAGACATGAAAAGACTAGCTGTCTTTGATCATAGGTGCCTGCGTTCTATTTCCCGTGTAAAGTGGCATAATAAGGTGAGCAACATTGAGGTTAGGCGTAGAGTTCTAGGTAAACAGGGGAAATCAATCGACGAGGTTGTGAAGCTACAAAGACTGAGATGGTTAGGACATGTGTTACGTATGCCAAGCCATCGCCTCCCTCGACGAGCAATGTTAGCGGATATAGGGTCAGGTTGGAAAAAAGCTAGCGGCGGTCAAACAAAACTTGGCATCAGTCAATGAAATCCACAACAGTTGGTCTAAGCCACGTAGGAAGGTGTAGACTTCCAGGCTGGGGTCCTCGGGACGGTAAAAATCTATGGTTGGAAACAATTGGTGACATGGCTCAAAATCGTTCTCAGTGGCTGGTGCAGATTCATCCACTCCCTGTGACTTATGATCTCCAATGAAACTGTTTTGTATTTCTTTATTACTCCTTTGTCTCACACCTCTGCTCACTGTTTCTATTATGCTTTTCTTGTACTTTCTTCTCTTGCTTCGCGTGCTACACGGAATGTGGCGACTTGAACTTCCGCACATTTGTGCAAAGTTCTATGTCGAAAACAGACAGACAGACAGACAGAGATGTGTTGTAGAAGTCATACCTATGTCCCACTCGGAATGCAAGGGAATAATAATAGTAGATCTATTCATGATTATGTAATGAACACGAAAGAATTTGATAGTAAATTAGAGTTTAACGAAACTAATTAATATGTCATATTGATGACGATGATCATGATGGTGATTACTCATACTAAAGACAACAAGTGAAATTGAGGTGAGAAGTAGTTAATAGTTGTCGCTATTACAGTTTACTAGACACGTAACCTTCAGAAATCGGGCGGGAAAATTTTCGATAGATGAATATATCACACAATAGTTCCCCTTTGTATTACCTTGTCAGTTTCTCTTTGATTCTCTGTTGGCCGTCTCATATCTTGTTAATTTCTAAGAAACTTTTCTGTTTAACTTATTACATAAAGAGGTTGATACTTTCTGGAAAGTCTCAACCTCATCTCATCTCTTGCTATTTATTAATTTCATACGTATCAATTTCGATCGATTAAACTGTGCAATGGTAGCCACACACACACACACACACACACGCACACACATAAACACACCAGCTGTCATTATGTTTCTTTGAAAACCAAAGTGGAAAAGGCCATCAAATGACATCACACGCAATACAGGCTATCGCTCGAGAGGAATCCCAATAGGAAGCGAAGAGTGGGTCGCCGGTATGAGGGTGACATGGAGGAGATCGTGTGGAGAGGAGGAGATGAGAGATTTCTGGCAATCGTGGAGCTAGCCAGCTGAAGAGGACGGAAGAGAATAGAACAAAGCGGAAATGTGTTATTGAAAGCCCTACGTTCCACTTGGAACCGAAGGAAATAATAATAATAATAGTAAGACCTAAGAAAACTTTGTCATCTGAATTAACGCATATGCAATATTTATACGCCTACATGATAATATTTTTGACAAACCACTAACTAAGTTCTTTTATTCCCCTACCCCCTCTCCACTTCTTTTTTCATTCAAGGTGAAAATATGGTTTCAAAATAAACGTTCAAAGTTGAAGAAAATTCTTCGTCAAGGTCAAGATCCAACAGTTTTTCTCAATAGTACAACTAATGGTACAGGAGATGAAGATCAAATGGTAAGTTTTTTGTGTGTGTGTGTGTGCCCTGCAGCACCCCACCCCACCCACTATCGTTCAAAATTGGTTTACATTCTAATTTGAATTAACGGGTAAAAATTTTTTTTGGTGTTACATACATGGTTTTCCAGTGGTTCTCTAACTGATGTCAGCTCATGATGAAATCCTCCATCCAAACGAACCAAATCTCTACAAAACCAATACTCGAAAATTAATCTGATGCTCACTGCCCTATTCAGGCAGTTAACCTGGGGTTCTAGTGGGAAGCCGTGACCAGTAGGGTACAGCAGGTTGAAGATGAGGCGGTAACTCATCGAAAAAGACATTGCGAAATGCTCGTGGTATGTCGTGAATTGGCAGAAGTTAGAATTCAAGGACCGTTGGATCGGGTCCCATTGGCTCAATGATCTACGAGCTCGCTAGCTTTGTGACCAGCAGGTCCTGGGTTCGAACCCCGGTGGGTGCGTACTGCTGAATAGTCCCAAACTAGGACAAAACAGCTGTCTAGTAGTCCCAGGTTTTCCAGTGGTTCTTTGACTGATGTCAGCTCATGATGAGATCCTCCATACAATAAAATAAACAGCAAAATTGGAAAATTAGATTTACGGTTAGTGCGGTTTAACATAATTAGATGGAAAAATTTGGGAGTCTTTTCAAAGATTTAATTCAATTAATTTGAACTTTCCCGCTAATTGATCGGATCAAAGTGTTCAGCTTCACGTTGACATGTTAGCTGTTTATGTGGATACTTCAATGATGTCTGGAAATTTAAAATGAAGCGATTTGGCTTATAGTTACAGAAAGTAGTAGAATCCAGGATAAGGTGCATTCTGTCCTATTTGGGACTACTCTTCAGCTGGATGTACCTGCATTCCCCAGGGAGTGATAGTGTTCCCAATGAGGGGAATGTAGGTATGTCCAGATGACGAGTACTCTCAAATAGGACGAAATGCACGTTGTCCTGAATTCCTTCAAGTTACTTCAAGATGAAGAGACTTTCCAATGAGAAATGTCAACTAATTCGAAATCATTCAGAGTTTATGATTGCCAGATGTAAAGTTAAAAATTAAAAAAAATAATATTCAGAATTTTCGTGAATTGAATAAATCTGCAAATAGTTCTCCGTTCTTATTTTATTTCGTCGAGTACGCATAAACTGATAGTGAAATCTGTTCTTATTTTTTCCACTCCCAGATTGGCTTGCATTAATGCCATCTATTACAATTTTGATGTCTTCATCTATCTTGTAGAAGTCCTCTTTCTTCTCTTGGTCTGCGTAATTCGTAGGAATACATTGCCGTTAACAGTTTTGAGATTTAGGTTCCATTATATCTCCTCTCACAGATTCCTAACACTTCCGTATTGCATCTTCTCATATCTTCTTCTGCTTCAAATGCAATGTAGACGTTCTATGTCCCTATGCTTACGTTTGTTTTAATCCAAAGAAGACACTCCGGTCGCTTGTTTGCCTGAAGTCTTTAACCAGTCGGTATTAGCTGTCCTCAGAATGAGTAGTGTCCACTATTGCGACGAAGAACAGGCAAATTCCTTCCACATTTTTAAGTTTCACCACTTTTCTACACAACTAGGCGTAAACTGGACGTGCTGAAAACGCATTCAACGATATCCTACCAATTGAATGAGATGAGTGCTTGCTAGCTAACGAGATCAAGGTGATCTAATACATCGTTTAGCATCGGTTGAACTCAATCAACGGTGTATCCAGTTGGACCCAGCTGAACAGATGACTGAATCCGTTCAAATTAAGCAAATTTCTAGCCAGTTACTTAGTTGAACTGGTTATAGCATAAATGGAATTCACAACTTGTAAATTAATTGTCATTTTTGTTGGCTTACTTACGCCTATTTTCCATCTGATGAATAGTGTTCATTTTCATGATGATAACAATCAATATTTATTCTTTCAGGAAAGTGATTATGATGAAGATGCTAATTCTCTAAATTATGATGCACCAAAATTATCTTCACATGTTGACAATTCAGATCAGATCAAGTACAATAATAATAATAATAATCTTCCGCGTAGTCAACACTCTCTTCAAACAAATCCTCATCAACTACCGTCAATAAATCGTCGAAAAGAAGACTTCATCAATGAATCCGTTGAAATACAAAAGACCTCTGAACTTAATAACCCATATGAAAATCGATTTTTCCCATCAATGAATTTAAAACATGAATCATATTTAGACAGTAAACCGCAACTGAATACATTAACCGATCCAAGCCAATCAAATACATTTGTACAACCTGATGATAACGTGCCATCAGCTCCAAATCACATGTTAACCGACCAATCTAGTCATCGTTTAACTGTAACCTGTCCTCCAACTCAAATTCACACTGTGGTGCTACTCAGTCGTCAAAATCATCATCTTATTCAGATGTAAGACAAAGTCTTTCTGAGGGTATTACTAATACGAACAATACAGTCAGTCATGAAGAAGTCTATTCATCACACACATCATGGTCATCATCAAGTCCTGTAAAACCTAAAGGAAAAATCGATGAAACCTGTTCAACTTCCCCTCATCCACCTATCACGATAAACCAGTCGAATACAGCTGAGGCGAAATGGTCCACCATTGCTGTAAATCAACCAAACGAGATGAATTCTGATTGGTTATCGAAAGATACACTTCGATATCCAAACAATGAGATCTCTGCTCACCAGACTATAGAAGAAAAATATAAAAGTATTACAAATCATTCAGAGCAATGGTCTACAATTGATCGGCCTAAGATTGAACCACAAGCTGAGTCAACTTTACTCGAAGTTCCATATGATTATACATATTAAGAGTTATGCAATATTTAATTTACTATACTATTTATTACTGAAGGAAAATAACCCAAATGTGTGTGTGTGTATTTTCCTACAGCGCCTCAAGAGAATAAAATCAAAGTTTAAAATTCAATGTCCAAGGTGATCACTATGCACACACATACATACATACACAGATACGTATAATTAAAACAAAATTGAATATTGAACAAGACAAGAGAGCATTTCTATCTTACATAATGTTCTATTTACTTTTGTTTTTGATTTCGCATAAACATACGCATCAAACACACAAACCGTTAGGGGTGTTGGATCGTTTCATTTCCCCTGAATTTGATTTTTGGTTCACAATTTCATCAAATTACTCTTTATTCACATTATTGATTTTTTGAATGATTTTTGAATTTTCGGTCTCTTCGAAATTCTAATGATTATTCCATATTAATCTTGTTAATATTATTGTTACTATTGTTATGATTATTATTATTATTATGAGGTGTACTAACTTACCAGTTGGGAGTTTCATAACACCTTATTGACAGTGTCATGTCATTTGTGGAAGAGAAATAGAGGAAGGAGGCGACAGGGGAGTGTCCCCCAAAACATGTATTCATTTGCTTTTTATTTTGAATTTTTGTTGTACATAATTATGTCATTCATTACATATTAAGATAATTATAATTTATCATTGGCCTTTTTTTGTATTTCTATACCAGTGAGGTGGTAAAGCGGTAGAATGATCGCCGACCACACCTCATTTGGTCCGTGGCGCGATTCCCGACTACCGATGGGCACCTTTACCTCGGTAAGCCAGTAATAATACACAGGTTAAGAGGGAATGTTGCGTATGAGGCTGGCTAGCAACCCCCCCCCATCCAGTAAAAATAAACATCACTGCTACCGAAAATCAGGCCTCTAGCTTGAAGTCACCCTATGTTCCACTGGGAACGTAAAGGATTAAAAAGAATAGTAGTGAGGTATTTTAAGACTCACCCAATTGATGTATTCAAGTGTTGGTTTTCAAGGATTTGATTGGTTAGGGGAATTTTACCATGAGCATGAGTACTGCTGAAGAGTTCCAAGCACTAGGGTGAAACAGTTGTCCAGCACTCCTTGTTGGTACTCTAATAGTTCTCTAACCGATGTGTCAGCCCAAGATGAAATCCTGTAACCGACTGGTGTGTCATGGAGATGTAGGGATTTTTCTTCGGCATTTGACTAGTAATCACTTGGTTCTTAATTTAAAATTAGTATTATACCCTACCTGACTATGGATAGAAACGGGAATTATTATTGGCTTTAGCACTGGGGATGTGAGCTAGCATCTCTTCGTATCTCTTTCAGCATGAGCGATAGATTGCTTGCACAATAAGTTCATCTTCCATTCAGGTACGGAAAATATCTAGGAAAGCGATGAATTGAAGGAAGAAATTATTATTATTATTATTATTATTGTATCCTTTAGTTCCTGGAGGAACATAGGGCTTCGGCCACGTGTCCCCACTGCGTTCGGTTTTCTGCCAACTTTTTCACTCCGCTCCAAGTCTGCCCACATGCTTTCATCTCCTCTTCACATGACCTCCTTCAAGTCACCCTCGCACTGACAACCAACTCGCCACACGCTTCCCTTTCGGCCTGGTTCCACTCGAGCAATGGCTTGTCTAGTGATGTTACTTGATGGTTTATTTCCTCAGCGTATGGCCAGCCAATCCATCTCCATTTCTTCTTGCATATTTGTTGCACAATCGGTTCCTGGTTGGTTCGCTCACTGCCAGAGATCCCTGTTGGTGATCTTTTCTGACCGGCCATCTGATCTTGAGTGGTATTGACCGAAGACACTGCTGTTGATGGTCTATAGTTTGTTTGAAATACTCTTTATGACGCACTGGCCAAGTCTCTGATCCGTGTAGTGAGTAGCACTGACTTCACATTGGAGTTGAAAATCAGGATCTTATTTTGCAGGCTGAGTGTTGTTGAGCTCCACACAAACTTAAGAGTAATGAAAGCTTGTCTTGCTTTTCCGATTCTGGCTTTGATATCCTCGTCAGTTCTGTCCGCCTGTAGTTGAAACGATGCTTCCCAGGTAGGTAGGCGAAGGAGGTTGTTTCTTTCAGGTTCCTCCCATTTATGCGCGCTCCTTTTCAGTTAGTTCTCCATCATCGGCTCTAGACTAATATATATATATATATATATACATATATGAATAAGGCATCAGGAAGACAAATTTCGCGAGATGATATCGTCATTTCGTAGTTTTTTTACAACCGCTTTACAACTAACATGGTTAGCAATAATAAAATAATGTTTATGACAATTACTCAGTTAAACAAAAAAAACCAAGGTACATACTAATGACCAATCATTTTAGATAGGTCATGTTGTCCGTGGTAGGCGAAGATTGAAGTCTATTGTTTTTGTGCACACAGTTTAGGCTGTATGCGATTAATCCAAAGTGCTTCCATCACTTTCAATAACCAATCTTGAATTAGAGTTATGTAAAATAATTGTAAAACAGTCATTCATATTGATTTTGTGTTTTGAATTGAATGATGCTGGATTTATATTCAGATTAATCGTGTTAGGATTTCTATATGATTTAGTAGCCATTTCGGAACATATTCTTTTCGACAACATTGGAACATTCTGTTGGTTCTACCTATATAGGTGTCACCGTAGCTGCAGGCGAACTTGTAGATACAGTTTGAAGTAGGGTCGACAGAATTTCGTCTTTTTAATCGTAGGTACAGGGGTCAAAAATGTTCGGCAAGTGAGGAAAAGAGATGCGGTGGCGTAGAATGTGAGTTTGATGGCTGACCGAAGTCTTTGAGCTAGCTGTCAACTGCATAATCTGGTCGCCCTTGAATGGTAGGTTTATAAAGATAGCTCTCTTTGGTACAGCAGTTGTCTTTTCGATATGTGGTCTTTCTTTACTGTGACAAGTGAAAAGTTTTCCGGGTAACCATTAGCTAATAAAACTGAACGCATATGTCGAAGCTCACCCATCAATGTATAACTCGTGCATATTTATCAATCCCTTATTCAAATTTATCGAAGGGACTAATTATTTTAATATATATGTATAGCTTTTATATTGAAACGTTTTACCAATCAAGTGGTTGGCCAATTTTCTCCATCAGTCACAGGTATAGGAAGGTGGGAGGTCATGTGAAATTAAGAGGTGAAAAGTTATCAAAGCAATTAACTAATAGATGTTAGTAACAAGATATCTAAGTTTTGAAGGAGGGGTGGAAATTAGTTATGGAACTCAAGATAAGTGAATTCTTTGGTGTTAGCAACAAGTTGTTACATAATCAAGAAATTTGTAAAATAACAGTGATGACTAAGAAGAATAGGATTATACAAGTATTGGTTTTTAGAGATTTGGTTAATTGATTTAAGGATTTCGTCATGAGTTGACATTGGTTAGAGAACCATTGGAAAACCAGCTGGGAGTATTGGACAGCTGTTTCGTCCTAGTTTGGGACTCTTCAGCTAAAATCCCTACAAACCAATACTTGAATATCGATGAGATATTCACTAGCGACTGACCCTATTCGGGTAGGTAGACAGTTACCTGAGGTTCTAGCGGGAAGTCGTAACCAGAAGAGTGAAGCAGGCAGTCAGATGTGAGGACAAATACTAGCCGAAGACATTGGCTAGGGGTCGCGCTATGTCGTGAACTGGCAGAAATTGGAATTCTTGGGCTGGTCATTGGTTTGGGTCTCAGTGGCTTAACGGTCTACGAGCTCGCTAGCCTTGTAACCAGAAGGTCCTGGGTTCGAACCATGGTGGTGGGTTGCATACTATGAAGAGTCCAAAATGGAACAAAACAGATGTCCAGTACTCTAATGCTGGTTTTCTAATGGTTCTCAAACCAATGTCAGCTGATGAATAGGATAACTTTATAGAATTACTTAAGATACAAATAAGTCGATAGGATTAATAAAAACTTCAGAAATCACAAAGAACGTCTCATTTCATCAGAAGCACTCCATATCAAATGGAATCCAAATTGTCTGAGCTGAATAGGAATGATGAACTAAAACAGAATTTCACCTGGTTACCACAACCCCTTCCCACACGAAATGACAAAATTAACACATCAGTGAGTAAACGAGTGAGTGGGTGAGTGAGTAATCCCAATTCCAGATATTAGCGTACCAAGTAATAAGCGCAGGAACTATGTCATTCTTGTCAGGTATGATATAAGTTGACACATATTCGATGTTACATACCTCATGTGAATTTGCTTATTAGATATGTCACACGGGGTGAAACAGTATGACTTAATGTATGGCAAAGGCTAGAAGACAAGTTATTGTTTGTAATAACCCTATTTGAAACTCCATTTGAATAGTTCTCATTCTTTTTCGTATAGTTGTGTTCTGTGAGTTATGGATAGTTTAGCTGCGAAGCTCTCGTCGTCTTATTGGACAACATTCTCAGTGTATCCTTCAGTTTGAAGTGTCCGTATAAAAGACCGAGTCCCTAAAGATTCTTTATCTAATTGTGTCTATAAAATAAAACGCTTGGAATCTGATGCGATATACATAGGACAAACATAGCCAGAGAGAAATCAAAATCAGAAGAAATGAACACCGTAAAGCCAGCTCTGTTCGACCACCGAGAAATCCTGTTGAACTAGAAAGGCTTGAAAAATCACCGGCCAGCCATAGGTTTACAGTCAATAGAATCAGCCCACCAGATTGATTTTGACAATATTGAAATAATCCAGAAAAAGGATTTCAGAAATCACAATGAACATCTAATATCAGAAGCAATCCATATCAAATGGAATCCAAATTGTCTGAGCTGAAAAGGAATGATGGACTAAAACAGAATTTGACCTAGTTACAATACCTCTCTCCCCCATAAAATGGCGAAATTAACACGAATGGGATAAGCGACTTCATTATGTAAACACACGCTGATTTTATAATTTTACACAGTTATCAAATCCAGCAATCTACACCTATTTTTGTTATCTTTACCGATTGACCAACTGGACAACGTAAAAATTACCGCATGCTGATGAACGATGATTAAGTTGTTATATATGTAAGCTGAAGCTTTGTAAATTCTGGTTTAATATTAGTACTTTGATGAAGCTATTAGCAGCAGCATTAAATAGCGAAACGTCAGTAAACACAACAATATCGTTTTGTTTTTCATTCATTGGGAAATACAAAAACCTTTATTATAATGAATATCATATACCAAATGCCCAAATTTTTTCAAACTGTTAAAAATGAACTTGCTTTGGACATATATAGCAAGAATTGTAGTTATAATAACATAACAAAGTCAAAAGATAGCTACAAGTGGAGGGGAAATCATTTTTTTTTAAGAAACTTCATACATATTATGTAATTGGCAATGGCAAAGAAAGGGGCTGTACAAATTTCGTTTGAACACACGCCCACAAATTTGGTTTGTTCAGGTGAATTCCAATTGCCTCTGCTGAATGTATGTAAAAGTCATACTCGTAGACCATGTGAGAGGTTGGGTCAAATACGACAAATAACTTTAAAAGCTTTGTTAAAGTCAACTTGATGTTCGGTA